AGATTTATAAACACAAGATAGATGAGACCAAAATGCCTTCTCTGGTTAATCGAATTTTTCTTGAATTGTTGACAAAAAAGACTGCCATCCAGTCGATTTCTATTTTTACTTCACGAGTCATCACTCGCAGTGAAATACGAGTCCTCTTTCTTTTGACAGCCATTTTTTCTCTCTCTGTAATAATGATTTCTTATGCGTCTGACTTTTTCAGTTTATCTAAAAGGTCTAGAGATAGGGATGGTTGGTATTTGTCTTGTTCTTTCCAGATGGTTACTCTGTTTTTTATTGTCGCAAGGAATCGAGTATAATTCTTGTACCATTCATCCACTGACATGACATTTTGTTCTTTGATCCAAAAATTTTGTAGAAGCGCCAACATACCTTCAAATGCCTTCCAACGAGCATAAGAGAAAAATTTCTTGTTTCAAAGTCTACATTTTCACATGTCAGCACAATGGACCAGTGATCACTGGTACCAAACAAAATAGTTTCTGCAGTTGTTCCATCTATATTCGAAAAAGTAAGATCGATATTATGCAGAGAGTGTTTAGATGAGTGTGAAGAGGAAGAAATGTATGCGAGATTGTTCTCTTCTATCCAATCTTTCAAAATTCTTTCACGTTTCTTCTAGTGTCTGTCCGGGCTTGTTTTTATTCGGATGGCTGCTCGGTATTGATTTGCTCATATTAGCGTTTACAAGTGATTAAAATTGAAAATTGTAAAGTCAACTTGATGTAATACGGTGACATTTGTGTTCTGCTCATATTAAACTAAAGGTGAAAACCAATCCGCGATGAACTTAGCACAAATTTTTGAAAAAATAATTAGTATTTTAAACTTTAATTAGTAATAGTTTTGAATTTCTACAAGTCTCAACTTTGTAATAGACATTTAAGACTGCATGTAATGCATGATGCAAAAGTAATGGCCTACAATGTCGACTCGGTTTCTTTTCGATAAACAGGTGTTAAATGAAAACTTCTTTTTATTAAACAATAGACATTCTTGCCCTATTTTTGTATCACACGCATAACCAAAAACAAGCAACAAGAAAGAGAAGCGTCCATCAAAGACTCATCATTCTTCGTGAAACGGAGAAGAATGTCACAAAATGGTGATCCATGTATGTCTTTGATAAATTTTTGATAAATAAGCTTTGAAAAAAATATTTTTTTATTAGATGATACAACAGGAATGAAAAGAAGAAACACGTAAGCAAACAAAATTTGTAGTTTTTATAAGAACGCATCCAAAAACATCTTCTTACACAACATTTAATTCGACTTTTTGTTTGTTCGTTGGAAAAGACCTTGTAGATGACAATGAATACAATTAACTGTCGTGCTACAATTTATTTTTCGGTTGTTTCTTTTTTTCCCATCTCATTTTGCTTATCAATATGTGACAAATATGATTTATACACTGTTCGAACGAGGAAAAAAGTTTGCTATGAATTTACAAAAAAAAAAACATTTGCGGACTCTCTACTTACCGAAGATACATCAGTGTCGACATTGTCTATAATCTTTTTATAAAATTACGTCTTCTTTTTGGATGGTTGTGGATATGGGGTATACTCACCATACCCATACCCTCATCGCACCCACACTTACTCCCATGAAATGAACACAAGTGAGCAAATGGGAAAAAGTGTTGATTTGGGCTTGTTCTAGTTATAAAAGCAAGAAATTCATTTCATGCGTATACAATGATATGTAGAATTGCTAAAAATGACAAATTTGAATATCGTTAATAAGAAAGATGTCAATCAAGAATCGTTCTAATTCATTCATGAACGACTTATAATTATACGAGACGTTCTTTGCATAAAATATTTCCTGTATATCTTAGTATATTAATAAACCGAACAAGAAAATTAAGACGAAAAGTTAAAGACAAACAAATTGGTTTTAAAAGAATTGCTAACATAATGCCAATTTCAGTGGGCCTTACAAAATTACGGCAATTTGTGCATATATTTCAACTAGATCTTCCAGGTTTTCGATATTTACCAGTTTACCATCCATTGCTTGATTGATTTCTTCAATAGTTTTTCTATTAAAATTTCCAAGAGCCATCGTTCAGAAATTAGTTATTAATCCTCTGTTATTCTGATTCGTGTACTGGTACCTATACGAAATGTGAGAAAATATAGGATATTTTTTTTTCTTATAAAATCGTAATAATATTCGAAAAATAACAGATTACGTAAGGCTAATTTCAGTTTAATTATTCATCTTTCAGAAGAATAGGATTTGAATGTGTGTTCAAGTTGATGAAAATAGGAAAATATATATATATATATTTAGTAATAGTACAAAGTCTGTAGAAATACTTGTTCGGTTTGATTAAGTAATTGAGAAATATTTTTTGCTCATAATCCTAAAAATAGTAAAGGGTATCGTCCCATGAGAGTTAATTTTAAAGTTTGTTTTAAATTTTAAATTTTTAGAAATGAAACGTACGTTAAGTAGTCGATCTTAATGGTTTAGCTAGTTATAAAAATTTAGTCGTATTCATTGATGTGCGATTAAGAAAAGAACGAATTTTCTTTTGGTATTGACATCTCATCAACAAGATTATTCTATAATATACTGAATACTTAAAAAACAATAGATGAGGGTATGGGTGTGCGGATAAAGAGAATATCTACACTCACACCCCAAATCAAAGATATATGAGGAGATTTCGATTTAAATTAAAAACTCATCATTTTTATTTCTATAAGTTTTCGAAGACAGTAATATTGCTTGTGTATCTGCTTTCTATTTTGAAATATCTTGATTAATTAATCAATCATACTAATCATTATCTTATTGATGATACTTAAAATTATTTAATCAAATAAGCACTTACATCAGATAGCTGATATAACATAACATAGTTCTAATTGTCAAATAAAAGTTCTATCATGTGATGATTACTTTAATTAATTATGTTTTATATTATGAGAAAACGATGCAAATATAATTAAATGAATGCTACGGTTAATTTCTATCATATAATATTTAAACAAAAACCTAGAGATTTTTTTATTTCGATTTCTTATGAAGAACTTAACGAACATTTATTTTCTGCTCTACTAGAATACTCATGTGATTTCGACACAGTAAAAATATTTCATTGAGATTTTCAATAAGATTGTTCAATCAAATATTTAGTTAATTAAAAGATTATTTACCAGATTTATGATTAAAATTATTCATTACCAAAATTATAAAAATTCGGAGAGGATGTCTACGCTTCATATATTTATGCTTCGACTATTTCCTTGTTTTTCTCTATGAAAAGGTTGGCATTTATTCATAGGATCGAATGATATTCGGATTTTATTTATCGATAAGAGGTTCCAATCGGATTTTTTACAAGAATTTTTCAAATCGACTGTAAAATTTCTTATGCTTACAACAGTTAACTGTAGACTAGTTCATCAATTTCAAGTATTTCGGGTAAAAGATGGAGATCACACCGTCAAAACTGCCATTTTACGAAACCTATTGAAGGCAAATGAATGCTCATATCGAAAATTCTATACCATTTGAATTATCTCGAGATATCGATTTCTCTGACAAAATTCAAACAAATTTATAGCGACTCGCCGTTGTCTAGATCATCGCGGCACCAAGCACAGATTTTATCACCACGAACAATACACAAAATACGAAGGGTAAATGCGTACGCAAACAACTACATAAATGATGTGCTTCGCACTGCATTAAAAATGCAAAGAACTGTATACATTCGCCCTATATCTCTAGATTTTTAACTCCATATATGAGATATAGAAGTTGCTATTTATCCATTAATACCTTTATCTTTATGGAGAGGGGCTATTAATTCCAAAGAGAAAAAAGAAATAGTCAATTAAAATGACTCACTCACAAACGGCTAATAAACAATACACACACAAATAGCTATTTATTCATAGAAGACGAAAAAGAGGAGTATAAACAATTGACAAATCATTACCGCTCACACTGTGTTGTTTTCCTAAATGCCTCTTTTTTTTCCTATTACACTGGCAATTAGATGTTATATCATTTAATTGGTATTGTGTGATTCAAGTTTTTGTTGTTTCTTTCATAAATATTTTTCACAACATGGTTTCTTAATACATCTACGTTCAAGGAAAATATTTTTGAGCTAGTCTTTTTTTTTCTGTAAAACTACCTAACTCACATTTCGGGTGGGTGTGCGGGTAAAGAGAATTTCTACATCCACACCCACACCCTCATGTCTCAAACAAATGATTTTGCCTATATAAGGCTTTGAATTTGTATTAATAAAAATCCTTAAAGTAAAATTTTTATTCTTTTACAGTTGGGGAACATTATAATCAATATTAACACCATATCGCTCAAAACTCTCAGGACCTTGAAATTTAAGAATAATTTT